ATGGTCTCAGAGAACAGAGGATTATTTTCAAGCCTTGAGGGCTAATGTAACATGTTCTGCTGAATTGCTTGGTAACTGTTATCTCTTCTTTCCCTCCAGTTTATCACATTTGTAATGGAAATGTCTTCCTTGTGTCTGTTCCACCATTGTATTTTTGGAAGCAGATAACTTGTATTCTAGATTTCACAGATAAAGAGGAATTTTTTTGGAATTTGGACTTGGAGTTGATTTAAGACTTTTGGGATGATATGATAGAGCGAAAGTGTTTTACAGACAGCAAGAACATGAATGGGCGGGCAAAGGGTGGAATTTTATGGTTTGAGTTGTGTCCCCTAAAAGTGTGTATTAACTTGGCTAGGCCACGTGTGAGTTGTCCAATTTTGTGAGCCGATGTGGTTATCCTATGTGTTGTAAATCCTAACCGATATGATGTTAATGAGGCAGGATTAGAGGCAGTTATGTTAATGAGGCAGGACTCAATCTACAGGATTAGGTTGTATCTTAAGTCAATCTCTTTTGAGATATAAAAGAAAGAATCCAGCAGAGAGGAAAGGGACCTCATGCCACCAAGAAAGAAGCACCGGGAGCAGAGTGTGTCATTTGGACCTGGGTTCCTTGCACTGAGAAGCTCCTAGGCCAGAGGAAGATTGATGATAAGGACCTTCAAGAACTGACAGAGAAAGCCTTTCCCTAGAGCTGGCACCCTGAATTTGTACTTCTAGCCTCAAGTCCCAAGAACCAGAGGTCAGATGATAACAAGCCAGATGCAGGATCCAGAGCAAGCAAAAACCAGTGAGCTTTGCCAGAACATCAATATATATTGGATATAGGCCACACCCCCAAGGAAACTCCCCTTACAACTGATTGGCTGATCACATCAGATTACATTATGGAGGTGATTACATTATATCACAAAATGGAGGATAACTAGATCGTAATATAGCTGCCAAATTACATCATTACACAACCGCCAAACTACTATATTATATAACTGCCAAACCACTGAGAATCATGGTCCAACCAAGTTGACATACATCCTTAACCATCACACCACCCATTCATTCATTCATCAAATATTTATTGAGCACCTAGCAGGTGACTTCAGCAATGGGCTCAAACATAGCAACAATTATGCAGATGGTGCAAGACTGGGCAACGTTTTGTTTTGCTATTTATAAGGTCTGCAATGGTTAAGCTCTCGGCTGCTAACCGAAGGTCAGCAGTTGGAACCCACCAGCCACTTCGTGAGAGAAAAGACCTGATCTGCTCCCGTAAAGATTACA